CTATTTCCGCGAAATAGTTTTTAAGCTTTTAAATCTGTGAAAAACACATTCACAAATTAATATTCATGAAAAAATTATAAAAATAAAACACTGTAGGCTGTGGCATGTATTTCATTGTAGTTATATATAACCACTTTTTGTAATCATGTCACGTACAATATCGATGGTGTTTGTGATTATTTTAGAAGGATTCGCGCGGTTAATCGCAGCTACACATGTGACCGTGACGATTCTTTGCAAATTAATTGCAAGTAGTTTTTCTAATGATAACTGATTACAAAAAGTTGAATGAAACAATACAAAATATCGTACTTTTAGCAATATCATAATATGATTATTATGATTATCATAATATCATAAATGATAGGTATTATATTATAATACCTATCATTTCACGCAACAAATAAATCGATTAATTACCAACACGCAAGTAACTTTAAGGTGTAAAAGGCAAAACATCCTATCTGAATCGAATATGCAAAGAAGTAAAAGAAGATAAAAACAAAATTGAAACGGAAGATATTTTCAAAAAAATAACATTACACGCTTCTCGGCTCCAAATCATAACGCTATCAAAGATGAAAACGAAACACTATTTACTGCTAAACAAGACATATTAAATAGATAGAAAGAATACTCTGAAAAATTGGTGATAAAGAAAACAAACTTTTGATATATGCACCTGACCTACGCCAAAGTGAAATCGAAGCAGAAATTAAATGAAAAGAAGCTATAAAACCTCTGGTCTAGATAATATACCTACTCATCCAAATGTTTTGGGCTTTAAATGACATTGAGTTGGATATGTTACACCAAGTCATCCAAAGAATGTAGAGATCAGTATATATTTCTGTGCACAAAAGGATACCACGGAATACGGATTCATATAGTAATTATCGCACAATACCACGAATTACACACTACAGTAAAATACTCTTATATAAAAGAACAGGCAGGTTTGAAAAAATAAAAACAAATTGAAAGACTATTTAGAACGGTGGAGAAAAAAGAAGGGTCATCATAATAGACAAACCCAGTTATGACATAAACTAAGATTGTAAGATTATTTGAGATTTCGAATAATTAAAGCGTACTTTTAGAATTTTGTCGATTAGCTTAAACAACTCTTAACGGCATTATATTCTGTCGTTTTAAAAGAACGCTGCAAGATTGGAGAGGATGACTGAGTATTGGTAGTTCGAGACTACATCAAAGAAAATTTATTCGTCTGGTTCTTCGGGAAGACGTATCACTTAGCCATCATACCATAAAAACAACGTAAAACTTTTCTACGCGATACCAGTTTATTTTTTAAAAGACAGATCGTTATCCAATACAATAAAAGTTATTTTTGTTAATGTTGGACTTCTTGAATGGTTTTGTGTAAAGAATTTTCTATTATCTCTCTATTTTTCTGACCATAATTATTTGTTTGTAAACTGTTTATCAAGAGAATCTGCAAGCTGTGTCAAAGTCAAATTTCCCCCAACCAGTTCGGGTTCACAAATGCTGTTGGTACTAGAGATGCTTTTTTCTTAGCACAAGTCTTATTCCAGAGATGCAGAGACGTCAATTGTGACGTATACGCATATCTGGTTGATTACGAGAAAGCGTTTGATCGAATACAGCACGCCAAGGCGATGCAAATACTAAAAGAAGCAGGATTTTTTTTCCTTGGCTTGGACAATTGTCATTCAGCCAGTCTCCATCAAGATAAGTTTTGTTAAAGAATTTAAATATGTCAATTAGTGAAACATGATTAATATAATAATAATAACAGCTAAGCTAATGTAAGAACAAGCAGCAAAACTGAAATGGAAATGGGCTGGACACAATGAACGTCTCCAAGACGGACGATGGAACAATGCCATCGGAAATTGGCGTCCATACAATGCAAAGAAATCAAGAGGCAGACCACAGATGAGGTGGAAAGATGACATCAGGAAACAAGGAGGTCCCACATGGCAGAGAACAGCTCAAGATAGGGAAAGATGGAGAGAACTGGGGGAGACCTATATCCAACAATGGAAGGATAGAGAATAGGTTAAAAAAAAAGCTAATGTACATACTATGTTAATAAATACTATATCATACCTTTATTATAATTTAGTTATTGAGAGAAGCCATCAGAAATTCATAGTGTATACATCTTACAAATAAAAAAAAATAAAAATAAAGATATCTACCTACTATGTTAATAACTACAACTATGGTAATACATATTTTTTTTTCACTACGTTAGGACATAAACCCGATTCAACATCTCGGAGGTTTAGATCCTCTTAGTGATTGTTTTAGTATATTTTTTTTTCTTATTTTGTTCTTTTTTTTAATGTATTTTTATAATCATCTTTCTTTTTTTTTAATTTTTTTTTCTTTTTAAATCTATTTTTTTAAGCATTTTTTATATTCTTTTTATTTTATTTTTTTGAATTTTTTTTTATTATTTTTTTCATAAATTTTTTCTAAACATAGGTTACCAATCTTACTAATTACAGACATACTTTACTATCAGACAAAAAGGTTATCAAGCAGTTATACATTTTCTTCTCATTGAGTGATAGTAGAAAGAGAATATTAACAGGAAGAGGGATGTTCTTGTCTATCATTCTTTTAATTAGGTTGTTGGTGGGTTGTTTATACTTTTGACATTCAAAAAATATGTGGTTTAAGTCACTTTTAATCTGACATTCTTGACAAATATCCGAATCTAATATATTTATTTTAAATAAATGTACAGGATAACATGCATTGCCAAATCTAAGTCTACTGATGGTAGTTATGTATTTGCGAGGGAGGACGAAATTCTTATACCAAGGTTGTTTTGGAATAATTGGTTGTATCAAACTGTATTGTGTTGTTGAAATACTACAGTACTTTTCCCAGTGTTCTCTCCAGTTGTTCATTTGTTTAGTTCTTGAACAAGCAAAAGCATCTATAATGCAAGGTTGATAGTTGGTAAGTGTTCCATAAAAGATGGAATTTTTTGCTAACTGGTCCACGTGTTCATTATATGTAAGTCCTGAATGTGCTTTGATCCACATCAATTGTATTTTTTGGGTGTATTTATTAATTTCAAATAAGCAATTTTTAATTAAAAAAATGTATGGATTAGAAGTACTACAGGGTAGTTGCGGTTTTTGAATAGCTGTAAGTACAGATAATGAATCAGATAAAATTACTGCTGAACTATACGATGCCAATTTAAAATACTTTAAAGCCTCATATATGGCCACAGCCTCAGCACTAAAAATAGAGAAATTTGTGGGCAGCTTAAACATTTTTCCTATAAATTTATCTGGAATATAAAAGGCACAACCAGTACCCTTTGAACTTTTAGATGCGTCTGTATAAATACAAACAGATTTTGGCCAATTTGTCAGATAGTTGTTTAAAACAATACGACTTATTAAAGGGTTCTCCTGATAAATAGGTTGTATTATATGTACTTGATCCAGTAACTCAAAGAAATCTTTAAAATGTACTACTTTGTTTGCAACTATAAGTTCAGTATCTTTATTTGCAGTATTTCGAAATGCTTCGCATAGCGGTGGAGAATTCTTGCGAGTCCAATATTTATTTGTTAAGTCGAAATAATTTAAAATAATAATATCTTTATATAAACAAGTGTTGTAGCAACAAACTTTAAGAAGAAATTTTTGACTAAGATATTCTCTTCTAAATTTACTGGGCGGTTCTATTGTCTCAACATAAAGTGGTTCAATAGGGGTATATCTCATAGCACCAATGCAACACCGTAAAACTGTGTTTATAAAAACATCTATGCGACGTAAAATATTGTTACTAGCGGAGCCGTAAAGTACAGAGCCATAATCTATAATGGACCTGATATAAGAACGATAAAATAGAAGACACGTTTCACCATCTGCACCCCACCAAGTTTTTGAAATTGATTTTAGAAAGTTTAGTGCTTTATTACATCTATCAAGCATAAAATCAACATGCAGTTTCCAGGTCAGTTTTGTATCCAAAATCATACCCAAATATTTTATTGACTTACAGAGGGGAAAATAATTATCATTTACTTTTATTTGTTCTCCTTGAATCAAGTTGCGTCTAGTGAATATACAAAAGTTAGACTTGTTGTTTGCCAACTCAAAACCATTTTTTTAAACCACCTACAGCAATGTTCATGAACACTTTCCAATGTGTTTAAGCCGTTATTGTAACTTTTAGATTCTGTATAGATACAGAAGTCATCTGCATATTGTATTGTATTAAATGAAATTTTTTCGATACTAATATTATGAAAATCGGCTGTGTAAAGATTAAATAGAAGTGGACTTAAAACTGAGCCCTGTGGAAGACCCGAACTATTAAAACGTGGTCCAAAGAGTTGTTTTCCTTCCTAATATTAATTTTCCTGTTTAAGTAGAAATTGACAATATTTTGGGTTAGGAGCGAAGGTATTTGGAATTGATGAATCATTTTTTCTTTTAGTATATCTAAATTAACACTGTCATATGCACCTTCAATATCCAAACATAAAAGCTATTTTAGAGATGCAGAGAGTTCAACTGCGACGTATACGCATGTCTGGTTGATTAGGAGAAAGTGTTTGATCAAGTACAGCACGCCAAGATGATGCATATACTAAAAGAAACAGGAATTAACAACCAAGATCTGAAAATAATTAGAAATCTTTACTGGAATCAGACAGCAAATCTCAGAGTTGAAGGTGAACACATTGACTATGTGAAAATCATGCGTGGAGTGAGGCAAGGTTGTATTTTGTCTCCTCTAATCTTCAATCTCTACTCTGAAAGAATATTTATCGAAGCTTTGCACGAAACTGAAAAAGGTATTCTACTAAATGGTTACAAGCTAAACAACATCAGATATGCAGATCACACCATAATATTTGCGGACAACTTGAAAGACTAAAAGTTCTTATAAACAAAATCATGTATTACAGTCAACAGTATGGATCCAATATACACGTTAAGAAGACAAAGCTTATGATAATTAGCAAGAAAAGGATAACAGAAGGTCAACTCTACGTCAACCGATCATCTGTAGAGAGAGTGACGCACTACAACTACCTCGGCACCATGATAAAAAATCAAGAATGGACCAACAACCAGGAGATTATAGCATGCATCAGAAAAGCTAGATCCACCTTCAATCGGATGGGGGCCTCCTTTAAGTGTCACAACCTCTCTCTTGATACAAATGTAAGAATGCTGCGATGCTACATCTTCTCTGTCCTTTTTTATGGTGTTGAATCGTGGACCTTAAACGAAGATATGTACAGAAAACTGGAAACATTTGAGATGTGGCTACATAGGAGAATACTTAAGATCCCGTGGACTGACCGAGTCACAAATAAGGAGGTCCTCAGAAGACTGAATAAGAACCGAGAGGTATTACCATCACATTTCGAAAGTTATAAGTTCGGACATATTATGCGAAATAAATCCAGATATGCTCTCCTTTAAGCCATCCTGCAAGGAAAAATATTTGGAAAACGAGGTCCAGGAAGAAGAAGAACCTCTTGGTTAAAGAACCTCAGAATCTGGTTCAATACAACATCTGTGCAGCTTTTCCGCGCTGCTGCAGATAAGATACAAGACTGCCATGATGACCAACATTCGCCAACATTCGTAACGGATAGGCACATCAAGAAGAAAAAACTATTTATTTGTGATATTCCAATATTTGATCAAATATCTCGTTGGGAATAAACCACAGAGTATAAAATAAATCATTTATAAGATGTTTTGGTTCCAAGATTGTTTAATTAAAAATTGTATTTTGAAACTAGGCTTCAGGCTTCCAACGTAGAAATGTGTCAAATGAAGCATTTATTCAGAATTTATCGTTTATTTCCAAAAATATATTTGACTTCTTTTGGTTTATTTGGCTTGAAAGTGGGGATAATTATTGCTTGGAATCAGAGGACAGGAAATCGTGGTTTAAGAAACAAACATTTATTAAATCAAATAGAATTAGTGTTTGGCTGTAAATGGTAATATTTTTTATGAATATTGGTGGTATCTCATTTATCCCGCTAGCGGTGTTTTTAGAACATTATACTCTCGATTTTGGTGTTTTTGTTGTCGTTACATATTAGTTTAAGAAGTAACACTTACGTAATATATTCTCGTATGATTTATTGTAAAATTTAAAAGCTATTTCTAAATAATAAAAAGGCAACAAGGTATAAATTATTTTAATAAATAATTGCATAGACAAACGTATTTACAGTACTTAATATAGATAACAACTACACCTGTTGGCGATTAAATCTTACACGTAACACAAAAGATAAAAGATTTCTTGGTATTCCAACTTATATTTGTCGTATTAATTTATTATTTTTTCCATTCCAACCTCTTGTAGGCTTCATATATAGGCATATCATTAGCTTCATGTGTGTTGAAAACCTTCGATCGACTTATCAAAAATCGTCTTGAGCAATGGTTAGAGAAAGAACATATTCTACCTGATATACAATATGGCTCCAGAAAATCAACATTGGGAGCATTAACAGTAATTGTAACAGATATTTTAGCTGGATTTACTAGTAACCTTATGACTATGGCAGGTTTCAACGATATTACAGGTGCATTTGATAACGTTAACCTAGATGTTTTGACCAATAAATTGATTTCGATTGGATTTAATACGCAATTAGCGAACTTTATAACTTTGCTGTACACAAACAGGAAAATACATATAAAATAAATCAAGTAACCACTAGACCTAGGACTACGAACCTAGGACTCCCCCAAGGCAGTATTTTAAGTCCAGTTTTGTTTTTATTATATACAATGGATGTCAGTGTTAAACTTCAAAACATACGAACAATACAATTTGTAGATGATATTGTTTTTATTGTACAAGGAAAAACTTTGAAACTTGTGAATATGAATTAAATAAAACTTATGACATCTTCAGCGAGTGGCTGAATGAAAATTATTTTACACTTTCCGAACACAAAACAGAGGTGTGTCTATTTAGTCGAAAACGAAACATTAAACAGGATCATGTAAAACTGGGACCTTATAATTTCCAAATAAAGAATGTTGTCAGATACTTAGGATTATATCTAGACTGTTATGGAAAGATTGTATCCATCAAATAACAAAAAAGTCTGAAAATGCTATTAACATACTGAGAGCCTTTTGTTATATAAAATGGGGGGCTGACCCAAATATCGCCTTGTTATTTTATCGAACGATGATAAGATCAATCCTGGATTATGGTAGTCATTTGTATGGATCAGCGGCACAAATTCATTTAGACTAAATAGAAACCCAAGAAACAAAAGTTTAAGAATATGTCTTGGATATCTCAAGTCAACCCCAATAAATATTATGGAAGCAGAAGCTGTAGAACCACCGTTACAACTAAGAAGGTAACAAGTTTATCACAAAAGAATTTGCTAAATCCGCAAGTTTTATAATTCCTATCCATGAACTGTCAATTTCAGTACTCACACAGCCTTATTGGCTGAAAAAGAAAACTCCGCTAATTTGTAAAAGTTATACCACTCTTTCCCAATTCAGGTCGGTACTGTACACATCAAAAACCCAACCAATATTTTCAGAATATCCGCATGTCCTTTGTCCTCAACATTTGTTGAGTGTCAATGCTTATACAAATAATCTCAACGACTAGTAAGTTACACTGAAGAATTATGATATTTTTTAAATATTTACATATTTGTCTTATTACAGTGTCTTGAAAGAGGAATAAAACCATTCCGAAAGCTCGACAAAAAAGTCAAAAGAGTGTTTTTTTTAACATCCAGGCCAATATTCTGACTGCAACCCTAATAAACTGTGTTATTTGTATATATATATATATATATATATATATATATATATATATATATATATATATATATATGTATATATATATGTATATATATATATATATATATATATATATATATATATATATATAGATATGTATATATATATATATATATATATATATATATATATATATATATGTATATATATATATATATATATATATATATATATGTGTGTGTGTGTGTGTGTGTGTATAAAAAACAAATAACACAAACAAAAAAAAATTAAAAAGATGAACAAACAAAAATAAAAACAAAACAAAGCAACAAATAAAAAACAAAAAAGAACAAAAAAAATATAGAAAATAAAAGTATATATAAAAACTAAATTCTACATAAAAAAAAGATTAAAAAAAGAAAAAAACAAAACATACATTGCTCACACTTAACTACTAATCCTTTAAGCATTGTTATTGTGAAGAAGGATGAGTTTTCTTTTAAAGTGGTTTTTAATTATTATAGTTAAAAAAATCGTCTGGCTAATTGGTCTTTGCCAAGGCCATCTAAATAAATAAAAAAAACTTAAATTTCTTTGCATTAGCTTTATTTAGTATTATTTTTATTTTTGTTTTCAGGTGTGGTACAGGTCGTAAATAAGATAAATGGTGTATGTTTTACGGCATCTGACGAAAATCTGTTTAAGACCTTCTCTGTGTATTGTGCTCTGGCACTTCATTATACAAGACTTCATCAAAAAATGTTTAAAACGGTAGGTATTGGAACTCATGCTTAGAGATGTAACAACCAACACCAGATGTATAACAAGATCTACAATTTTGCAGTGTCCGACTGCAAAAAGACTACTCTATTTTGTTCGCCAAACACACTCACGTTTTAAACGTTTTATAAACATTAATTTCATTAATTGTAGAGAACGATCATATTACCACGGTAATCTTAGACGTCTATTGTCAAAAATGTTGTCCGTCAATATTTTCCTTGTCTTTTCGATTTCATATTTTCCAGTGGCACCTAAAGATATAATACACTTAATAATATTTATCATGATTGCTAAATTGTCGCTTTTTGGACGTTTGAGACATTGAATATTTCTAAAAAAGAATGAAACAATCTGAATTTTTATAAAAATACTCTGGATCTAGAATTTCCCTTCATAAAACGTGTTTAAATCAACGGGAACTCAGAAATTATCATTAAAAGGCGCCTTTAAGCAGTTAAACGCTTATATATTTAACGCTTATACAATAATTTAAAAATAAATGAACTGAATTGGAAAATTTTGTGGAAAAACGTTAGCGTCCCTCTAAGTGGCTATACAGAGAAAAAGAAAAAGAGACAAAAAAAGTAACATCAATAAGAAGGAATCCCAAACCGACAAAGTAACTGTAGGAAAAATTGAACCAGACAATGCTGGTAAAGAAAAAACTAGTAAAAATTAGAATGTATTCCGATTCTGACTAATGATTTAAAATATGTGTATGTTTTTGGTATACTAAAGATTTTTATTGTAAACATACAAAAAAGTTGGAAAAAACGCTATAAATACTTTTTTGGTATTTCTACATTTCTGTTAACCCTGTATCTGGCAAAGTGTTTCAAAATATATAAAAAATATATGAAATTTGATTTATGGTATCAGTTTGGCACTATAAATGATCAGCAATAAAAATAGAACTCATAAAACTAAAAGAAAGTGACTTTTGAATGTGTAGCTAAAAAGCTACATTGCCAGATTGAGATACAGTCTTTTATAGCTAAGGTGTATGGTGAGGTAGAAATTAGATTATCAAATATTTTATGTTTATTTAGAATAAAAAATTAACAATTAAACATGCAAAATGAAAGTATGTAAGAAGAATGTATGAAATGCAAAAATATTAGATTTTAGTCAAACATAGTCATATGTCGCATTTACTGCATGCTATAGTGGTAAATCCAGGCCAATGAGCAACTGAATCCTGTGTAGTGGCTTTATCTGGTCTCAGTAAAAGAGGTGATTGACTTTTATTTTTAGGCTACAGGGAAGGTCTTTTCCTGTGCGTTAGAGAAAACTTGCTAGCTGTAGACTAAATGCTTTTAAAGGTACAGGTTTTTATTTTAGAGATATGTAGTTATTTTTATAGAGAATCCATGTATTTATAACACATGTCCAATATATAAGTCAGAATGGGAAAATACTATATTTTGGCTCTACTTGAACTTCTATACAATCCAAGTAAATAGTTTGCCTTAACAACCCCTCCCATGTACTTGTTATATTGGGTAATCCCTCAGATAAATAAAAAGCTCCAGGCCGGAAAACCAGTTGTTGCAAAAAATTACTGAAGTTGAGGGATCTGAAATGGTCTTGTTCAAACTTATAGCAACGCTAGCACCTAAACCAAAAAAGTTTATTTTTTAGTAGGCGCGTTTAGAGTATTGTACAACTTAGAAAATGTAAAAGCTCCTTGGTATGCAATAAAATCGGCAATGTAGCCAGACACGCCAGCTCGAACAAACATTTTGCATCCCCATTTATGAGGCTTATTTTGAATATATTGCCTGAGATTCCCTTAACAAGTACCTTTATATGCAATCATAGTTTCGTCTATGGAATACTTATTTTCAAATTAATGTTTCTGGCGATTAAATCTGACTGCATCCAAAAGTGGTCTGATTTTGAAATACCGATCTTTGGTTTCCTCTGTAACTTGATTGTTGTCATGGCAGTGTATAAATCTTCTGAGAAGTTGAAATTGTTTTAGAGACATAATATTCGCAATTTGGGATATTCTGGAGAATCTTGCCCAATAATCATTCACTGCTGGTAAAGTTATTACTGGTACACGATATTTTCAATAATGTCAAGTAAAAACAACTTGAAAAAGTACTCTAAAGGCGTAGCTACCTCTGCATTGAAAAATCGACCTGGATCAGAAATGGAAATAGTTATTATATCATCTTATGTCCAATTAAAATGGATAAGATCTTTTTTTGCTTTTTTCTTCGTACAACTTCCCCTTCTTCGTTTTGCTCCTTCCTCATCAACTTCTCTATCTTCGTCTATTTCTTGTATAACCATATTGTTTGGACTTGTTTTATCAGAGATTTCGAAAATATTTGACATATTTGGATCTACCGGAGGCCAGCGTTTTTTTCTTCCCATAAAAACATGCAGCCCTATTGGCTAAAATCCATAATAAATAATAGTTTTCTTTGTAAAATCTGCAACAAAAAAAAACTTATAAACTGGCAATGTTGCTTTTTACCTAAATAGTTTTTTGAATTCAGATTTTACCGTAATATATGTCTTTTAGCACTGTAAATATTTAAAAAAAAAATAAGTAATGAAAACAAGTAATAATTACAAAAAAGGTACCTATTTACTTGTTCACTTTCGGCCATATTGAAATAAAATTTCCCAAACCTTGTAATAGATGGTGCTATGAGGTGCTGATGGCGCTTAACACTAATAAAGGATGTTGTAGTTTAAAGGCAATCTGTCTAGATAGAGTATGTAAAGCTCTATGCTATTGAAATTATCATTCAAAGTTGATGTAGCCAAAAAGCTACAGGACCAGAACAATAAGTTTTAAATAAGCAAAATCCACAAGGAAAAAAAATTTTTGTAGCTGGCTGTATACCACGTATCACAAAAAGAGGTTAGTCTTTGTAAATGGGTATATTTATTTAAAAAACCCTTAAAAGGGCTACATCAATAAAACAAACGTTTTCGGACCACACAGTCCATCATCAGGTTTTAAAATCGAAAAATGCTAGGTCACAATGCCTGAGCCACCAAAATACTAGGGTAAAAACCCTTTAAATTACATTTAGTTATAAAAGATTGTACATTGTGTTGTAAAATAACTGTGATGTTCAGTATTAAATTAAATTTGACTAGAGGTAACACATGGCAGAATCGAGTTCCAGAGCCGGTGAGAGAGAACCTCTACACGCGGAGAACAGCTGGGAACACTTTTTTTTTTAAATAAGCATCCTTATTTCAGCTAAGTTACAACTTGTGTTTTTAAGTACTTCTTAATAGTGCGAAAGTTGGCGGCGGGCGAACTTTCGACACCAAATTGTCTTTGTACCTGGGGTAATCGAAGGGTCAAATTTTATTATAGGAAATTTCGACACAGCGGCTTAAAGCAGGTAGGTAGGTAATTAGCGGCGATGGACATTTGCACCCAAGCAGGACAAGCGGGTTTTCCCAATATTTATTGTCACGGCGGGGGGCGTGGCACTTGTGTACTTGTGACTAAATTATTTCAATTGTAATTTATTTCTTGTTTGACGTTGACTTGTGCACGTATACGGAAACATTTAAAAAATGAGTTTGATAAAAAGTTCCCGTGGTCGAGATTTATTAGTGGTGGAGCATCATTCGTTCTCGAAACAGAAAGTGTTAAAAAGAAACTGTAAAATGTACAAAAATTAGGTACTAGTTGTATTATACTTGGATATTATTACAGTTATAAAGAAATAAAATGCACATTACTTTTATTAAAATAAATTAATTAATTAATTATGGTATTTTATTTATGTCGCAGCTATATTTATTTATACGGGAAAAACCGTAGAAGATTCGTAGATCACAGAAGAGCAAGATATGTGAATTTATTTTTTCAAAGTATCTTCTAAAGATCTTGATTTATCTACATTTTTTTCAATTTTACTAAGTCTTGGTCTTAGTTTTATTCAGCTGCTCTTTTTATTATCTATTATTACTAGGAATTATTTTAAAGAATTAATTATTATATTTTCCAAAGTTTTATATATCGTGTGTATCTGAAATAGATTGCGTAGTGCCTGTAATAATTTCAAACTTTTTTAGGACAAAATAAACGAATCGAATTTGAAACTGTTGAAACTACAATTAAAACCTTGCAGTCACGATGTAGAGAGTTTTACTCAGAAATCTACAGTCACCATACCTTATAACTTTGCTGAGTATGTAAAAATTATTATTTAAATACTAGATATACTTAAAATATTCAATCGGAGCCGCTATTACGTTTTAAAATTTTAATTTGTAATCTATAACTTCCGTCATTAATTGTAGGTAATATATCCAATTCTACTTTATTATCATTCTCTTTGTATTTATCCTAATGCAGGATTGGCTTCCCTAATGACACTTTTCCTTCCTTTCACAAACATGTAGTGTTTATGCATTTCACATCCCATTCTTACGTCTTTTCATACTCATTTAAGAAATTTGACACTTGGGAATTCTGTATTTTGTGTGAATTCCATTTCAGGGTTGAATATGCCCCAAACCTTAACCTTGCTTCTTCATTTTGCCATTAATTGGTGACATACATAGACTTCCCCTGCTAAATTTATTTTTCATTTTATCCTTTTTTTGTTTTACTAATTCATAGACTACAATGAAGTCTTCGATTAAAATTCTAGATATTGACAGAAAGAAAAGCCAGAATGAACGAGTTGTAAATATCAAAAATATCCGAAATAATCGAAATGATAAGGGAAGTCATAAGGAAATGATAAGTGTATATTGTTTTATTTAATGCTTACTTTGAGGAAGGGAATTGGTTTTTAATTATGTTACAACATTAGAGACGCTGATGACACCGTAATAATAGATGAGAATTTAGAAAATCTAGAACAAACATTGAATAAAATAATAAGATGCAGTGGAAATATGGATTCTCTTTTACCATTAAAAAATACCAAATTCATGAAAATTAGCAAGTACAACAACACTAAAAAACCTAATGACAGCAGACTAGCAGATAGAAAGAATAAAGAAGTACATATACCTGAGTATACTAATAACATAAAATATTGACTACATTGCCGAAATAAAAGTTAGAATTGAAAAATCACTTGCCAACTTTATAAAAATAAAAAAGGGTTTTTGTAACAGAAATTTTACATTAGTTCTAAAAATACAATTGACTAAATATTACATATCTAGTATCTTACACAGTGTAGGTAAATCTACACTTTATCGAAAGGCGCTAAGAAAATTTATAGAAGGATTCTGAAAATCCCATGGGTAGGATCACGTTACAAAAGTAAAAAAAGGAGAAAAAAAAAGAAATAGAGAGCAGAAGAGATGAGAGAAGACGATATATAGCTGGTTAAAAGACCCAAGAGAATGGTATTACTGCACCTTAACACAACATTTAAGAATTATTGTTTTTGAAACATGAACTCGTTCTTATTCTTTCTTTGTAGTCAATGTAAATGTGGTTTAGTTGATTTGTTTTCAAATTATCAAATGAAGTAAAATTAAACTGTGGTGCTGAAATTTAAACATAAGTTTAGTATTTTGTTACACTTTCTCTCTCCAATGACACTACAGCTCAAATCGAGGCTTGGCCTTCTCCAAACTATGCCTCCATCATTGCGTCGATCATCTCCAAGTTTTTACGTCTAGCCTCATCATCCCACGTTTTCCGTGGCCTTCCTTTTACTATCTTGGGTTTTTTGGCAATCTTTTGGCCTCCATTCCCAATAGATGACCAGCCCATCGAAGTCTCTGACGTTTAAGGAATTCTGAGATCGCTGTCTATTTGAACAGTTGGTAGAATAGTAGTTGAACGTTCATCATTGTACCTGAGTCTCCATACTACGTTGTCGCTAATAGATCTAAATATCTTTTTTAGGACGTTTGTGCAAAGACTTGCAGCTATTTTTGTATTTTCTGTCATTACCCACATCTCGCATGGGTAACATGCTATTGGTCTGATGATAGTTTTGTTTCGTGGCTGATCTCAACTTGCGTGGAAGAGGAGCTTTAAATTGAGTAGGGTCCTTTTAGTACTTTTCGTTAGAAAGACTAGGCGGGGAAGTCCTCAACCCCGACACGGCGCTTCCCAATGGTTGATGGGGAAAGTTCCTGCAGATATGCAGAGCAGATACGAATAAAGCATAGCCAAATAAGTACCCGCGGATCAACTGAGGACATGGCATTAGGCAGCAGTAATGTGATTATTGGATTAAGGCTATGGGAAATTAAAAAAATACCTGTAGGCTTAATTCTAGATACTCACAGGTGCCACTCGCATTATGAGTCAAACGGCTGTGACACTGCGATGGGGAAGGCAACGGGAAACCACCCCATAAATAGTTCCTAGTGCATGCATCATGGTAATGTAAACCAATTTGAAGAAGGTACTGATCATGGACTTCGGATACCAAGATCCGACAGGAAAGGAAGAACAATAAATTGTAAGGTTTCCCAGATCATCAACCCACGAAATCCTTACCAATATTTAAACAGTAACAGTGAAAAAGTCTGCACGTGGAACATTCAAATAATCTTGGAATAGTCTTAATAGTCTTTCGAAGTATGTTTGAAGGGGAAAGATACACAACACCATTCAAGAAATGAAAAGACTAAATATCGACATGATGGGAATCAGCGAGATGAGATGGCCAGGCTCGGGAAAGCGCTGTGTGGATGAGCATATAGTATATTATGCGGTAAACGATAAACCACATCACTGGAACGTCGTAGCGGTGATTCTGAGCAAAAAGGTCGCTGGGGCTGTGATCAACAGCTACCTTTCTCTGATAGAATCATTCTGCTGAAGCTGCAAAGATCCGTTAATACGAACATTATTCAAATTTAAGCTCCAACATCAGAAAAGCCAGAAGAGGATATCGAGGAGTTCTACGCACTTGTACAAAAAGCACTAAAATATACCAAGAAGAACGAGCTTACCATTATCATGGGTGATTTTAATGCCAAACTTGGCAAAAGTAGAATAGAAGACATCGTCGGACAACACGGCTTAGGCGAGAAAAAAGAAAGGGGAGACCGACTTATCCAATTTTATCGAGAAAAAGATTTTACCATTGCTAATACCTGGTTTAGACTTCTCCCGAGAGGACTTTATACGTGGAAGTCACCTGCAGATACAGCCAACAATATCATCAGAAACCAGTGGTAAGGCCACAGGTCCAGACGAAATACCCGTTGAACTTATTAAGGTAATGAGTGAAGTGAGCACAAAGGTGTTAACTGAACTGTTTAACGCCAAATACGATTCAGGTAATATCCCAGAGGAGTGGCTATTGTCAATATTTGTAACACTACCAAAAAAACGATCTGCAAAAACGTGTGAAGATTTCCATACTATCAGCCTTATGAGTCATGCACTTAAGATTTTTCTTAAAATCATACATGCCAGAATTTACAAAAAATGCGAAGAAAATGTCGGTGAAATGCAATTTAGATTCCGCAATTCCGTAAGTACACGTGAAGCACTTTTCACCTCTATTTGTTTTATTGACTACGCCAAGGCATTTGACCGTTGTCAGCACCAGAAGATGTTCGCCGTCCTACAAAGAGTAGGATTATATGAGAAGGACATTTGGAACATCACGAATTTATACTGGACCCAGCGTGCTCAAGTCAAGGTCGAAGAACAGCTGACCGACCAAGTGAACATCATGCGAGGAGTAAGGCAAGGCTGTGTGCTCTCGCCGACTCTTTTCGATATCTACTCTGAGGAAATTTTTACTGAAGCCCTCACAAACCTAAAGATGGGAATCCGAGTGAACGGTAAATACATCAATAATATCCGCTACACCGATGACACTGCAACCAGCCCAAATGTTACTAGCAACCAGCCCAAATGATCTACAAGCCTCACTAGACCGAGTGAGAACTGTGACCGTAACATATGGACTAGACCTTAATATTAAGAGAACTAAATTCATGGTTGTCAGCCGTGAAAATTTATATCCCGGGGCACTAATGGCAGGTGTCGAAGAAATCTGGAGAGTTGACAGATTCACTTACCTCGGAATTACCCTCAACTCACAATGGGACTACGCTCAAGAGATTAGATCTAGAATTGAAATGGAACGGTCTACATTTATCAAGTTGAGATCCTTGCTGTGCGCAGTGATCACAGTTTGGAAACCAAGATGCGGATAGTGAAGTGCTACATTCTTTCAGTACTAGTATATGGAGTTTGAACCTGGACACTAACGCAAGCCGCAGAAAAGCGGATTGAAGCCTTCGAGATGTAGATCTACAGAAGGATGCTAAAAATATCGTATGTGGACCATGTCACCAACGTTAAGGTCCGACAGCGCATGAGAAAAGAAAAAGAAGTGCTTAATTTAGTGAAACAACGTAAGCTTGAGTACCTCGGGCACGTGATGCGGAACGAAGAAAAATATCAAATTCTTCAACTCGTTATGCGGGGTAAAGTATTTGGTAGGAGGGGACCGGGACGCTGTCGTATCTCGTGGTTAAAAAACCTCTGGACAATGATTTGGATGACTTCCGTGGAGCTGTTTCGCAGAGCAGTCAACAAAACCACGATAGCCTTGATGACCGCCAACATTTGGACCGGAAAAGGCACTGAGGAAGAAGAAGATAGTTTTGTAGACCCTGATTTTCAGTCTCCATACAGATTCTCTTTATGAATCAGTTTTGATTTATTTGTTAGAAGATTAGCTCTTACTATATTCAACTGTCTTATTACATATTGGTTGAATGGTGTCGGTGCTAGCCCGTCTTCTTGCTTTAATCCTTTAGTTATTGCTTTTAGTAGTCGGATGTATTTGTAGGGGATGTTAAAGCTGTGCAATATTTGATATAACTTGTGTCTATTAATCGAATCGTAGACCTGTTTGAAATCTATAAATATGTTATGAATTTCGTATTCCCACTATTTGTTTAGAATTTGTTTCACTGTGAATAGCTGGTCTGTTGTAGATCTTCCCTGTCGAAAATCTGTTTGATATTTTCCGAAAAATTTTTTAGTCAGTTTTCGTTTGTTGAGTATGTAAGTACTACCTTGTACACGGTGAACAAGAGAGTTATGCCGCGATCATTGTCGCATTTTATTTTATAGATGTTTATAGATTGGGCATATAATCCCGGTTTTTCAGTCGCTTATGTATGAAATATTCCACTTGCACAAATAAATTTTAATATTATTATTATTAGATTGTTAATACAAACATTGAGTTTTTTACCTATTCTTTTAGATTCAGATGGTATGTATCCCCAGAGGAGTTTCCAGATATGCCTCAATTAGTTTTGCACATGATCACAGAAGTCGTTGGTAAAGAAGAAATTCACGTTAAAAATATGTTAGAGTTTATTCTAACAGTTAAGAAATGTTACCGAAATAATCCGTACCACAACTTTGAACATGCTTTTAATGTAACTCATTGTATGTTTATTATACTGATGAGAAATAAAGAAACATTTTTCGAAATTGAGGTAACGTACAAATATACTTCTCGTATTTCCGTTTTTATATCTTCCTATCTCTCCAATTACACTCGTCGTGGGTTCTCACCTCTAAAACGAAATGCGCTTATTTCTTCCACGATGATGGAGGTCTTCCCCGTCATTATAAGTCCAAATCATTGTAACTGTTTTCCTTAAATCCTCCTGTTTATTGTTTCTGTCCTTGTACTTTATTTTTCGTAGTTTTATTTTTTTTTTTATACTCTTCATTGCTGAAACTTCGTGGTCATCTAAGGAAATCTATATTGATGGCTTACATTTTCCCGTTTTCTCTCTTTGGCATAATTCAACATTTAACATAAACTGATTCTCATTGGGTCTACTATAGATTTGTATACACGAAATTTTGAGTGAATTCCTATATTATTTGTCCACAACATTATGCATTCATACATTGTAAAGACAAACAGCTCAGGTGGTCAAAAAGAAGAAGATCAGGTGGTAATAAGCTGATCGTATACAGGAACTTCACAAAGACCTCGTTGTCTGGCACATGCACGGATCTATAAGATTTGTACGCGAGCCTGCAATTTTTCAGTTTTGCATGTCTACCAAAAATGTTTTGATGGGCCTCTAGACGAGAAGCAAGTGACCCCATATGTATCCTTATCATAACTTTTTCTATTAATTATTCGTTAATTTTGTATTAGGAATAGTATTGTGTATTTGTCTGATTAGAGAATCTATTGTAACTGACTGAATGACCAATATCTATGCCATAAAAAGAACCTATTTTGCCAGATCATCTTGAAAAGGACCTAGTGAAGCATTGTCTGTAAATGAAGAAAACTTATTATCGATTAACCAGATAGGATGTCTGTAATCTTGCATTTAAGTTAGCCAGGAGAAATAACATTCCAAATTAATCCTTTTCATTATTTAAAAAACCGCTGGAAAGGATTGGCTAACACGTTTTAAATTAACGTATAAGGACGTGTTAAGCCTACGGGAACTTCATTTGCACGAGCACTGGGCTTTAACAAGAAAAACGTTGGCGAGTTTTTTGATCTGTCAGAAAAAGAAATAGAAGAAAAAAACTTTTCAACTAATCAAATATTTAACGTCGATGAAAGTGGTTTTAGCATAGTGCCCCTTAGAAAGCGGCAAATAGGAGCACTGACGTCTGCAGAGCTTAGATTATTTGCGTTTTGTGTATGAGCACAAGTGGGAATTATGTGTCCCTTCGGTCATATTCCCTCGCAAGCGTTCCAGTGAGTTGTTAAAGAAGGTAGCTTCACCTTTAAGTATTTTTGCCTTCCGCTCATCAGGGTGGATTCAAACCAACATTTTCACGCAATGGTTCAATCACTTTATCAATTATGGAAAACCAAGTGCCGAAAACCCTATACTATTGATTTTGTATCAATAGTATAGGGCATCACTCGCACACGAGAAACATAGATGTTATTATCGCTGCTAGGCAAAACCACGTAATTTTATTGTGCTTACCGCCTTACACTACTTACAAGAAGCAACCGCTCAACAAATTCGTAATGGGAGCTTTCAAAATTTTCTACAGTGAAGAAATACGTCAATTTTTAAGGCAAAATCATGGCTCAATCTCATTTTGGTATCAATGACCTGCTTGGTAAAGCTTACTTGAAGATCCAAACTGGCGAAACGGCAGTTAATGGATTTCGACAAAAAGGTATATTTCTAGTAAACAGACATATTTTTTCTAAAGAGAATTTTCCACTAGAAGCACACAAGAATGAAGAAGCAACCGTTGGACATGAAAGCCTGATAAACCCACCTCGTGACCAGGAAGACGCCCGAAAAGCGGCAAATAGACAACCAGTTTTACCACAAAACATACTTCTCATTCCGGTTCTTGACAAAAGGCAAGACCTTAAAGGCCGAAAATCGGGAACAGCCAAAATTTTAACTACAGCCACAAACAAAAATAAATAGAAGAGTCAATTATATCGAAAATTTGAAAAAAAAAATGAAAAAGAAGATTTTTTCTACAAAAGAAAATTAAATTCAATTCGTCGGAAATCCGACAGTCAATAAAGTGTCATAAATGGGTTAACATAATTATCTATGATAATGGCAAAGCTACTGTCAGCATAACAATGATCATAACTTCCAATTAACAATATTTCGTAACTATATTTTCTAATTTTCAATAAAATTATTTTTATTTTTGTTTATATTTTTTATTATATTATCTTTATTATATTGCTTCTAATTTTTTGATACACTTTCCCCATTTCTAATGAATTATTTTTTAATGAATTTCTTTTTTTACTCTAGATTGTCAGCACTGGAAAATGCAGCTATTAGTTTATCTGTTTATTTCTTCCTCTCGGCAAGAATTCATATCAATTATTATTTTGTTGATTTTCGTTAAATACTTGTAATTGTTTCGTTCACAACTTCTATACATTTTGTTGCTAGTTTTGTTCAAGATATGGATCATGCAGTCTACCCATATCTTGTAGGGATTCGCCTATCCGTATCAGATGTGAAACGAATTCCTACTTATTTTAGTAGATATGTATTTATTTTTTTTACACATTTTTTTTAATTATTCCTTTCAGATTAAATCTCTTATAATAGCAGCACTTTGTCATGACTTAGATCATGGAGGATTTACAAATAACTTCCTACAATTAACAGATGACACATTAGCACAATTATACGACGAATCCATTTTGGAAAATTACCATTATCGAGTGGCGATGACTATTTTAAATGTAAGTACTTTTTAACGAGAAAAAAATATATTATTAATATAAGAACAAATTAATAATACAAGTTTTTTATTTCCAAAATACGTTTATTGTCGAAAAAAAAAGGTAACTATAAATATGTAAATTAATATTTGTTTTTAAAATTTGTGACATACCATTTGCTTGAGTGGAGAAAAGTAGTATTTTCCATTATAAAATTATGTAATATTTACAATTATGTTACACAATAGGTAAGTTGCCTGTTTTATCCTTGGAAAGTGTGTAAATTTACTTATTTTACTCAAAAACTAAAATTCATTAGTAAAAAAAAACAGATTCACTACAATTTTTGAATCACCATCACATACCACATTTTTGAAGAGGCTCTAAAAGATACTGATGAAGGCATCTCAATAAACGAAGTCAAGCTCAACAACCTGCGGTGTGTAGATGATACAATAGTATTTTCCAATATCATAGAAGGGCTGCAAAACTTACTGAACAAAATAACGGAAACAAGTAGAAAATATGGACTGGATATAATCATCATCATCATCAATGGTGCTACAGCCCTATGAAAGAGCCTCGACCTTCCCAAGTCTATTACGCCAGGCAGTCCTATCCATTGCCAACCGTTGCCAGTTTGCTGCGCCTATCTTTCTACCATCCTCATCTACACCATCCTTCCATCTGAGTTTTGGCCTACCCCTTTTTCTACTTCCCACGGGTTGTGACATAAGGATTCTTCTAGGAGGGTTGTTCTGCTGTGATCTTGCTAGATGTCCTGCCCATCTTAGTCTTACTATTCTTATAAGAGATACTACGTCTTTACCACCAAATATTTGTTTATATCTGTGGTATACCTCGTAGTTATATCTCCTCCTCCAGACACCATTTTCACAGATGCCACCAAATATTCCTCTCAGGATCCTTCGTTCAAATATAAGCAGAAGGTCTTCGTCTGCCTTGGAGATGGTCCATGTTTCCGATCCATATGTCAACACTGGCTGTATAAGGGTTTTGTATATGGTTATTTTTGTTTTTTGGCTTAAGTTTCTACTTCTCATATGTCTACTCAGTCCAAAATAGCATATGTTTGCCATTATTATCCTTCGCTTGATTTCTTCGGTTATGGCGTTCTCTTTGGTGATCAGGGAGCCTAAGTATGTGAATGTGTCCACCACTTCAAAGGTAGAGTTATCAACCGTGAATTGGGGACCGATGTTTATGACTCTATTGTTGGGTGTTGATGCCATCATCTTAGTTTTCTCCTCATTTACTTGCAGGCCCATAGATTTTGAGGCATTTGAGAAGGTGGTGTACATTTCTTCTAGCTTGCGTGTTGTGCGGGCAACTAGGTCCACATCATCTGCATATGCCAAAATTTGGGATGATTTATTAAAAATATTTCCTCTGTTGTCTATTCGGGCATCTCTGATCGCCTTTTCCAGTGCTATGTTGAAAAGGAGACACGCCAGCGCGTCTCCTTGTCACAGCCCAACATGCGTTCCAAACGCCTGTGATTGTTCGCCCTGTATTTCGACTTTGCAAACCACATTACGCATTGTAGCTTTAACCAATCTTATCAGTTTATCGGGGATGTGGAATTCATTTATGGCTTCATACAATTTATTTCTTAGGACACTATTATAGGCAGATTTGAAGTTTACAAAAAGATGGTATGTATCGATATTGAATTCATTGGTTTTTTCCAGTATTTGCCTTAGCATAAAGATCTGATCTGTTGTTGATCGACCAGGCCTAAAGCCACTTTGATATTCCCCGAGAAGTTCCTCTGAATATGCACTTAGGCGACCATATAAGATCCTCGAAAATATTTTGTATTTTGTATTAAGGAGGGTTACTCCCCTATAGTTTCTACATTCCAATTGGTCACCCTTTTTGTGTAGCGGGCAAACACCAATTCCAATACACCACTCTTCCGGGATTTGTTCCTCATTCCAGGCTCTCAGTATTATTTTATATATTTGATTAGTCACAGTAGCACCTCCACATTTAATAAGTTCCGCGGGTATACCATCACTTCCTGGAGATTTAATGGACATGGATATAATGGACTGGATATAAACACCAGCAAAACCAAGCTAATGATCATCAGCAAGGAAAACATAACTGGAACACATATCTGTATGTGAACCAAATGAGAATTGAACGTGTCTCACAATAGAACTACTTGGGAAGTATAATCAATGAGTTGTGGGACAATACCCAAGAGATTAAAGGTCGCATCGGAAAGGCAAAAAGTGCATTCTTGACTATGAGCTCTGCATTCAAGAGCCATGACCTCACCCTAGAAACAAAAATAAGGCTCCCTAAATGTTATGTGTACTCAGTGCTTCTGTACGGAGTAGAAACGTGGACATTGAAGGCGGAAACTATCAAAACTTCAGCTGTGGCTATACAGAAGGATCCTGAAGATACCATAGATACACAAAGTCGCCAATGAAGAAGTACTGAGAAGGATGAACACAACTGCGGATTTGGTCAACATCGTGAAGGGCCGGAAGCTGTAGTACTTGAGACATATAATGAGAAATCAAGGCAGATACGAGCTACTTCAATGTATTTTGCAAGGTAAAGTTGAAGGAAAAGGGGCCCTAGGACGAAGAAGAATATCCTGGCTTGCTAACCTGAGAGCATGGTATAGAAAAACCTCAATATAGCTTTTTCGTATAACAACTAACAAAGTCATCACAGCCAGAATGATCGCCAACGTTCGGAACGGATAAGCACCTTAAGAAGAAGAATACAATATAACAACTGATTTTACAAAAGTGTACATATCTTTCATTTGCAGACCCATTATTTAAGCCCAACGTCCATGATTCTGTAAAAAACCATTTATACAACTTTGTCATGTTGCTGATAACCGATAACTGATCGTGTGATTCAATCATTTTACCCTTTCTTTATTTTCTTCCAGTATTGAAGCAAGTTCCTCGTTTATTATTTCGATTATCATCGCTGTTACTTCTAGTGACTCCACTGACTCTACAGGTCTTCTCTCAAACTCTTCCAGTGCAATTTTATATATCTCACTTCCTTTCTTCTGTTTACTTTAAATAAACAATTCACCCTTAATTGTATGACCATTATCGATAGTTGGATTGTTTACCTTTCCCTGAATTATCAGATGTAAAAGTTCATATATTTCATGGTGTCTCAAACAGTGACTACAGTAATCCAGCTTCTCCCTATTTCAACTCCATATTTAAAATTTAGATACGCAGATGATGATTTATACTAATAGTCGATACATGGAATGCACTGAATACGATGATTGAGGAGCTACACACAGAATCCCTAAAAAAATGAAAATGAATTTCAGCAAAACTAAAATAATGTCAAAGATGACAAACCTATGATAAACATCGAAGGGACAGAGATAGAACACGTAGATAAATATACATATCTGGGTCAAAATGTAAAGGTAAGCAAAGAAAATCAGACTACCGAAATAAGCAGACGTGTAAAAAAGATATGGGCAGCGTTCGGAAGGCTCTCATACGTACAAAGACTGCAAACCAAAGTGTTCAATTTCTGTATCCTACCTGTGCTTACATATGGAGCTCAAATGTGGTCTTTCACTAAAATAAACATGGAGAAGATCAGAAAAACTCTAATCCAGAGAGCTATGGAACGACAGATGCTGGGTATCTCACTCAAAGACCATAAAACTAATGAAGACATTCGTAATAGAACAAAAGTAAAAGATGCTGTCGAACAGGCAGCTAGACTGAAATGCAAATGGGCTGGATATAACGAACGTTTTACGGATGGCCGACGGAATAAAGAAATTGGGTATTGGCGGCCATATGAAGCCAAAAGACCAAGAGGAAGACCGCAAATGCGATGGAGCGACGATATTAAAAGAACTGCAGGGCCAATGTGGAAACGTCTTACAAACAACAGGGATGAATGGCGAGAATTAGGAGAGGCCTATATTCGGCAATCCGAATAGAGGAAAGGGCTTTAAAAAAATAATTTAAGGGTTGCAATGCTGGAAAGGAGGGGGTTGACGACAGATATCTATACCGTTAAAACAAAATCCAACAAAATCCAAATTTTACTGTATAATTAGATAGATACCTTACAGTGTACGTAGTTAGTACTAATTTGGAGAAAAAAGAAATATGTTGTAGTGTGCGAGATGATAAAACTTTTTTTTCTTCAAACGTCAAATAATGATGACATTACTTATCTAACTTGATCCTGTCAAAGTTTGATGTCTCCGCCGGCAGCAGTTTTTTTCCCATTTCTTTACGGCGGAGGGAAAAATGTTGTCATGGCAACAATATGAAACATGTCACAAAGCAACAATACAAATGTCATTAACAACAATTAAACATCATTTTTATTTATAGTAATATTAAAAGTACAATTAGTTAATGAGGCATTTTCAAAATTGAAACCGTGCAAAAATGTTCCCGACTCTTGATACGCATTGGTAATTGTTGATGATACTGATGGTCGAGAACAACTTTCAGCAATCATTCCCGATGTTGACGGCTTGCGAACAACAATAAGCTGTCTTTAATAATTGCAAACAACTGTCAAACAACTGTAACCAGAGAGACGCAAATCCCACCGACGACTTAATTATTTTAATTTCTTACATCTAGACGACTTTGATAGTTGTCACAGTTAATTTCGAGTAAAAAGAGCGTATGAATTGTACTATTTATGGTTGAAAATTGCTACGTTTGAAGAAAAAATAGTATACTTTATTCGGCAAAGAAGCGCTTTGCTTGCCCTCTATTACGCGCCTCACTTCCTTCGGTGCGTAATATCGGGCGCGTCAAGAAAAGTCATGCTTCTCAGCCTCATAAAGTAATATACTATTTGTGCGTTTTAAAAGTTTTTCTAGAGTTAATAATCGTATCCTTTATCTACGCTTCAATAGGTAGATAAGACAATACATGTTTGCGAAAAGATTGGGAATTTTAAAACCTATTGTTAAATAAACAAGTAATCGTTTTCCCATAATTTCTTAAAAGGTAGGT